ACTACAGTTCACAGAGAACCAATTGCTGTTAATAAAAAGAATTTTTGCAATCCATCGGCGTATAAAAATTTTCGGGTTTTCGCGCGGTTGTAAAAAAGCATATACCATTATCGATCTACCAATTCATACCGCACATTTGACCCGGATCGGTTAAAAGGGATTTTAAAGTATTAAATAAATAAACTACGGCGTTTCAAACCTTTCCTGTTTCCACCATATCTCAAAACCTTGTAGCGCGGCCTCAACGAGGGCATTTTAAATTTGCCGTCGATCTGCTAAATTATTCCATCTCTTAGCTTTCGCGCCGATTCTCATATAAATTTTACAGTTTTTCTTTTTTGTTTAGCGCGGAACTAGTTTCGCAAAAAAAGTCGACCGTTAATTCTTTCCTAATTTATTACACACTAAAGGAGATTAATTGATACGTTTCCCTCTTAAAAGGAGTTTTCTATTATATTGTCTTATGTTGACGCGTACCCATCGTGCCAGTTCATTAATGTGGGATAATTAGTGAGTGAAATCTTTAATGAGATCTTTTTTGTCACCTTCGAATTCAACTGCAGTCCGGATTGGAAATGTTTTACTCCATATTTGGGGTTAACAACCTTTTAATGGCGTTTTAACAATGTATTGAACATATATATGAAACGTCCACAAAACAAATGGTTCTCATATTTACTCTCATATTAGCCTAAAATAAAAGTTTTTGAGGTTGCTTTTCTTTATTTTTAGTGGCGTAATGGATTTACATAATTTAACCTGTAAGTATGTTTTCACCGAAATTTAGGTTGCCGAGAACATTTTAAGTAAACGAAAATTGTGCTCATTTTCGCCCTTTAATATTCACGGATACCAGAAACATTTATTTTTACTAATTATATAATATTAGCGTATTATTCCGATGTGTTGAAAGCGCAATTACGTATACAGCAATGAAAACGAAACGAAACTATTTTGGGGTTGTTATAGCAGCAAACTTTCAAAAAACGCTCTTACAGTTTCATTTTCGTTCGAGGGGGCATCCTATATTCCGTATTTTCTACTTTATAGAAAGCTGTGTGTGTGTCACAACCCTTAAAATTACGAATAAGTAGATAGAAAAGTATTCTTTAAATGAAAATTCGCAGCGAATTTGTTTGGATGCTTTTTGCAGCGTCAATAGAAGAATTCCCAACTATCAAATGAGACATGAAAAAAGCTCTTTTCATATTGTTCCGAAAGAACTATCAAATGAGACATGAAAAAAGCTCTTTTCATATTGTTCCGAAAGGTGATGTTTAGTTATTATGTACTCGTACCAATAGATTTTGCATATTTCCTGTGAAGCTAGCACTAACGATACAGCAATAAATACGCAAAAACGTGAGTTATAAACTAAGGACAGCGCTGTAAATTGTAAATTGTGTCGGGCTAGTCACTGAACAGACATGAACAAATAAAACCCCCATGTGCGTCCAGGTTATCATGGTGATAATTGCATGTCCATTATTGATTATTGGATGCCCAGATTAGCGTGTGTTCAGAGTAAAGAGGTTACATTGTAATTACTATTAAATCTACACATTTCATCCCTTAAATAACGCCAATCAAATTTATATACGCATAAACTCTATTTTTTAGAAATAATTTTCAATCTTACACGTTTTCCTTAAGTGGACGTGGTAGGAACGAACAAAATTATGGGTGTTCGGACTCGCAGTATATCAAATCTTACAATTACTATTCTACAAATTTCATCCACTAAATAATTCTAATAAATGTACGCACACAGGCTTTATTTGTTCAGAAATAAGTGGTACAAATCTGACTTAGCCCATCAGAACAGGGTGTGGGTAAAACCCGGACCCGGACTTGGTGGGTAAAAGCCAGATCCGAACTAAGCCACGGTCAGGGATCACTTTTATGGATTTTTTGTAGTGATCTTTATAGTTTTATTATTTTCCGACCGCTCGTCCGTGTGAGCAATACTCTTTTTAACAGCGCCCGCAGAAAATGCAATATTTCGGAGAATTTCTCTAAGGGGTTCATATAGCATACATTTTGAAAGTATGCCAGGCGTCCTTTAACTGTTTATGTGTAAAGAGTCCCCTCTCCATTAATCATCTATACCAAGAAACATCGATAAATATAGCATAATGTCAACTGTTCTCTAACAATTTGAAAATGCAAGGGTTCATTCAAAAATTCATATCTCTTAAACAAATAGCTCAATAACTACCCGATATAGTCATACAGAATGTTAATAAAAGTTGCCCTAAAATTTACCTCTACATTCACTCTGGCGTCAGAAATAGTAGTTGCAACTTGCAATTTGAAAAACTGAAGTTTTACCATTTTTTGATTGGTAACTGAAAAATCGCAGCAGCTCTGGAAACTTTTTCAAGACTTTCGGCGGCCATTCCTTTAGACTTTAAGGATTTCATTATTAAATACGACGATCGCTTATGTTAAACGGTTTAAGAGATATGAATATCTGAAAGGACCCATGCATGACATATGTCAAAAACTATGACAGATAGGTAGGTACTTAAATTTTAATTGCGTTCAATTCAGAATAAACTAACGCATTTAGAACAAAATAGAAAATGGTATGTTTCTATTAAAAAACACCAAGATGGCACCACTTCCGGTATTTATGGAAGGAGCGCTATTGTGAAATTATTTTATATTTTAATTCGCAATGGTCGGTTATTGCTGTAAACCAAATTTCAAGTCTCTATTTCATCTGCTTCTTAGGGCAATTTTTGGAAACAAAAGTTCAAGGATCAGTGCTATTGAATATGAGGCGGATTAAAAGTCGTGTTTCCGAATGCGAGCTGATTTAATTAGGTTTTAGTGGTGCCACTGGTTCCAAAACTATCACTTTTACGTAGAAATGTAATCAAAGGGCTATTTTAATCCCGAATGGGTAGAACGTGTGCAAAAGCGATAGTTTTGAAAGCACAAACCTTGGCAGAGTAGAAATCTGACTTACCCCATCATACCATTACTCTGCGTGGAAATTTAAATACAGGTTTATTTTAATCCCGAATAACCAAACTAGACTGTTTTTTTAATGCACGTAGTGGGAAGGGACAAATACAAATTTTGTGTTTGGACACCCACTCTATCAAATATTGTAAGGTTTCGTACAGGAAGTGTCTTCGTTAATTGATTTTCTTTGTGGTCACAACAAATACAACTAGAATTTGGGGTATGCCGTTTCTTACATAGCGACCTGGAAAAAATCTGGACGGAATTTGACATATTTGAAAATACAAAAAAAAAACATACAAATAAAGAGCGTAACAGTCTTTAACAATAAACTTGGGTTTTTTTCCATTTCTTATAAAAATTACCTTACATCAAAAAATTCCTCTTTTAAGCGATTATAACTTTATGCTGAAAAAATGGGGGTGCTATTTAAAAAATTATCGATGCCGTCATAGATCTGTCAATCTATTGTCACAAAATTGAAACATTTAATCAACGTGTTTCTGCATTTTTCTGAAAACACTTTACCTTTGAGTTTTGGGACGCACTGTAGTTCTATTGTTCTATGTGTTGATGGGAGAAAATTAAAAATTTTGAAAGTTTTACGAATGCACCTACCAAAAGGGACCCTTATGTTATTTGGCAAAAAAACACTCTCTGTATGGCAAAGGGGTTCAGACTGTGTACTTAACTTATTTTACTTAAATCCTTCTGTTTCAATGAACTAATGGGTAGTAGCAAGATCCGCCTCGGAACATTCTCCCCCAAGTAAACTCGTCCCTGAAATTTCGCGCCCGGAATAAATGCATACTGAGGCCAAATAACCCGCAGTATTTTTTTTTAGATTTTGACATGCGACCCTGTTGATCGCGAACTAATGTTATAATCCAAAAATTTGAAGGAAGTAAAAAAGGACCATAAATCCAATATTATATATCTAACAAAAAAATCACAATTTTTAATCAGTTTTTTAATTCCGTTGTATCTTCCTCAATCGTTGCCAAACGCCGTGTAGCTTAAACAAATTGAGAAATGTCCCCCGTTTTTAAAGCATTTTAATAATTCTAAATCCAAGTGTCTGTATGTCCTGATCGGTTTATATCGTATGTTTTGCGACACTAGTTACTTCAGAGAGAAAATTTGACTACTACTGCTTATTTATAGAGTAACTTTCAGACAATTTCCGTCGCCAAAAAGCTCCCACTTGTCTCGATTTTGAAATTAAAGTGCCCATAATTTAGGACTATTTTAACGACAAGTTTGTACCCACAATATTAGAGTTAGAGCTATTTTCATGATTGTATAAACAAATTATTAGTAACCAAATCAAATTTCAATCTTCAAATGTCACCTATAATTGTAGGGCTAATTTCTACCCACGCGTATTTTTTATCAACAAATTATTTTGCTGTTACTTATTAAAGAGCTCCTAAGCGAGTTCATGACTTTGGCCTTTCTGTCTGTCCGTCTGTATACATGGTAACTGGCGAAAGGTTTCCAATTCTGGAAGAAGTGGTCAAGTTTCCAGAGACCCAGGAGCTCGTTTATTTGTTAAAAGTGTATTCAGAATGTGAGTGACAGTCCAGCAAGGTTTTTGAGACGTTCCCTAAGAAAAGCCAAATAAAACCCTCGCGCAACTTTGAGAGTTTAGAACAAATTTGTACTCTCAAGAATTTTTTCTTAAACTGAATTTTCATTCATTATACAATATGCGATTTTGGGACTTTCTAATCAATAAATCTTCTCGAAACTCGAAAAATTTGTCTGTCGAATTTAGGCCAAATTCATAGCCACAAGAGTTACTTCATTAAAAAAGTTTCTGTTCAGACGACTTTTCATTCATTTTATTATATGCGATTTTTTGGGTTTTCTAATAAAAACGAACTTTGTTAATGTTCTTTACAATTCAGGTTAAGAAAATATATACCTGCAGCACGATCGTAACTGGAGCCACATTATCGAGATCATAATTTTTGAGGATCTCTCTAACACTCATTAAGAGGCGGGTGTGTATATAAAAAACTCACCTTTCGCTCAGTCATTACATAAAGGTGCATCAGCTGTGAGTCAAAGTGCAGATCGGAGTTGACAGCAGATCCTTCTTCCACAGTGAGGTCTCCATATTCCAGAGCTGATGTTCCCGACTCAACCACGACCTGAAAATTATCGGAACGTGTAATTTTTATTAGATCCCTGGAGGAAACATTTACCTTCTTCAAATGGCCAGTTGAAGTGCCTACGAAGACGACCGTGAAATCTCCCGTGGACGTCGCCGCAACTGCCGTCAATCTCGTGGTGAAAAGTAAAACAGGCACAGCCGATATAGCTTGGTCACCCCCAAGTGGTGTGTTTACATCTAATCCGCAGAAGTCTTCTCCGATTGTCTGCAGTTTCTGCAAATAAAGCGTCATAATTACTACCAACGGTATTTTACACTTAATTTGTTGACATAACAAATTATACTGTCAGAGGCTAAGCAGTGGTGGTTAGTCATCTGGCAGATACAATAATAACGAATGAATATCTACTCCAGCACTACTTGTTTGCAAACATGTTATTTACATCACAAACAACTGGTGCAAAACGATACACACTGTCATAACTAGTTAAATATAGCCGTCATAACTTGGAACATTGTCCATAATTTTTGACAAGTCCCCATATCGTACCAGCCAGGAGGAACATGAATAACAAACTAAATTAATTAAAAAAAACAAAGATTTATTCCACAAATGCTTGTGCGTTCTCATGCGACTATAAAAGATGATAAAATCCAATAAAAAGGGACTCCCTGGCAGATTTATAAATTATGGAGAGAATAAAAATCGAGATTGTCGCAAAATCATCAGCTCGCAAATAGAATGCCATTTTACATTCTCCCGAAAATCTAGAACAACATTAGAGCACGTGTTTATTGATTCGAATTTCGTATGAGTGAAATAGGGGCCGCCTCCGGCGTTGAGGCGTCCGAGCACAAGCAATGTAGTCAATCTGTCACAGACGTTTCATCCAGTTCTCTCCCTATATTATCCCGAAAATCATCCGAGAGCATTATTCAGTGCTGCTTGAGCTTAATTACCAACGCGGGTTTACGAAGATAATTATATGGCAAGTGCTTATTAGAAAACAGGCGTTTTCAAGAATGTAATTAATTGACGCCAAAACATTGGCGAAAGTGAATTTTTTTCGAAACTCTAAAACGAAATGTTGGAGATAAAAAAAATTAAGCTACCGAAAAGCAATTAGAAGTGAACGCGCCGGGGGAACAGAACCCTATAAATGCTCTATTCCAACATTACATTAAGTTAAAGTGAAAGAGGAAAGCGAGATTTTACAACGTACAGGCTTACATTATGTCTATATTTTTATATTAACTTATAATGCTGCTTGCTACCCGCGTCTCCAACATAACAAAAACAAAACACGTTTTTATGTTCGGTACTGATGTAAACGCCAATTATTGAGCTAGTTTCTGGGTAAATCCCTAGGACACGTTCTTCTTTTTTTTTACAATTAGTGCCATGTCGAGATAATACACATCGTTTTTCATTCTCTGAATTCTTAAAAATGATATTATGCATTATGGAAGAGAAATGAAAGTTTGCCAACACTCGCTGGTGCCTTTTTTTTAATTTTTGAAATGTCATATTTCACTTTGACACTAGATATAAATATCTTGCAAGTCTTTACCTCAAAGGAATTGCAGTGAGTATATTTGAGATCGAACATATAATTTTGGTTTGTGTTCAATTTTGATGTTTTTCAGATTGATCACGCCGTAGATGGTTTCGTTCTTGATTGAAATAAATGCAGGCCAGATGGACGCGCAAAATGATTGCTTTAATTTTATATTACATTGATTGAAATCTACAGATGTGATCCTTTATTAAATTATATTGTCTTTGTTTTAGGAGTAGGTATTGCTTGATTTTACTAAAAGTTTAGGTCCTCTTTACACATAAGCATTTTGGCAACGCGCGCGTGTTGACGTGTTATTTCATTCTTAACGTGCTAAACTATATTTTTCGTAATTATTGTTTACAATTCTAGTGTGCAAAAATAGTGAAATGCCGATCATTAGTAAATGTTGTATTTGCAATATTACTCTAAGCCCGGATAAGGCGATAAAGTGCGATAAGTGCAAAAATCTATTACATTCGGCCTGTTCTGGGTTATCTGAAAGTGAAGTTCATTGCATTATCAATAAGGAACGTCGTATTATCTATCACTGTGATGAGTGCAACAAATGTCAGTCGGAATTATTAGACTTGAAACAGCTACTGGTATCCCTAAAAAGTGAAATTGATGAGTTGAAAAATGCTAGATCACAAATTCAAAATACTAACTTTGAAACCCTTATGGATGACCATTATGAAGATATCATACAGGAAATAAATGAGCGACAATTGCGAAAAGGTAATATAATTGTTTATGGAGCAATGGAAAATAATAATGCAAAACAAGACATACAACAAGTACAGGAAGTGTTGGCCCAAATTGATCCAATAGTTAGTGACATCCAATTTTCTGCGTTTCGTTTAGGGAAGTTCGATCCTAATAATATTAAACCGAGTCCAATTAAAGTAATTTTAAAAGATGAATATGTACGTAACATTGTTATCAAATCTAGTCAATTGAAGCGTATTGAAGCATTTAAACATCTGTCAATCTCGTTTGATAGGACTCCAAAGCAGATCAGCTACTATCGCAAAATCAAGAAACAACTGGATGAACGTGTTGCGAATGGTGAAACTAATCTGAAAATTAAATATGTCCGTGGAATCCCTAAAATTATTAATTTAAACTAAATGTGCCCAACACTGCAGTTACATTAGAGTGCTATTTCCAAAACGTGCGAGGTATGCGGTCGAAGGTGGACGAATTTTTTGTTTCTGTTAATATGTGTGAATATGAAATGGGGTGGTGGAGTACTTCTTGCAGTAAAAAACTGTAAGTACATAGACTCTTTAGATATGTCTGAACTCTCTAGAACTGTTCCATCTATTGATGTGCTAGGGTGCAAATGTCAGTTCGATATGTTCGCGATTTATGTGTTTGTGCTATATATTCCACCTGATACTACTATAAATGACTGGTGGATATTTATGAGTTTACTTGAGCAAATGTGTCATAACATTCAGAAAAAGTTACTAATTATGGGAGATTTCAATGCTCCAAATTTTAGCAACTATTGTAAAAGTGATCGGAAATCTTAACAAATTACTAATTTAATGGATCTGTGTAACCTTCAGCCATGTAATTTGGTCTTAAATTCAAACAATAGACTATTAGATCTCGTACTAACTGATTTGTGTAGTGAAGTAAGTCATGATACGGAGCCATTTGTTGTCGAGGTACAACACCATCCGGCCTTACGAATTGTCGTTCAGCTGAAGCATGATGCTCGAAATAACTTTCCGCTAGTCAGTTTTAATAACACCTCGAATAAAACCCTTAATTTTAATAAAGCCGATTTCATTGGTCTTTACGATAGCCTATTAGCCATTGACTGGTCATTCCTTAGTAGCTACACAGATGTTAATCTAGCGTGCTTGGACTTTTATAATGTCCTAAATGAACTCTTTCATCGTTTCGTTCCTGTTAGAAAAGGAGGTTTCAGATCATCATGGGTTACTGTGGAGATTAGACGAATGCAAAAATTGAAAAATTATTACTTTCGGAAATTTAAGAAAACCAAGGCGCAAATTTACTATGAAAATTTCTCTAGACTTAGATCAAGTATAAAAGCTCTAACCAAGTCGGCGTATCGTAATTACCTCGTTAATATTGAAGAATCGATTAAAGCTGACTCTACAAAATTTTGGTCCTTTGTACGGCAACGGAAGGGCATCACAAGAATACCTGGAAAAATGTACCACAACGTGTGCTATGACGATCCTGATTCTATTGTAGATGCTTTTGCTAATTTCTTTAGTGGTATTTACCTAAACGAAAGTAACAGTAAAGGTGTTGGCAGAGGGGTGATTAGTAACAATTTGGAATGCATTACTTTACCGAATGTCTCTGAGGCTGAAGTTATACGAGCCATAAAAAGGCTCAAGAATAAACCGACTGCTGGTCCGGATCAGATCCCAGCGTACTTGGTTAAGGACTGTAGGGGAGTGTTGACGTTACCATTATTACATATATTTAATCTTGCTTTACAAACTAATACATTTCCTCAGATGTGGAAAAAAGCTCGAGTGTGTCCGGTTTTGAAAACTGGGGACTCAGACCAAATAACAAACTATCGACCCGTTAGCATACTTTCCAACTTTGCGAAAATCTTTGAAATGGTAATATACGCACGTATTCAGCCCCAAGTGAAGCACCTCATTTCGCAGCACCAACATGGTTTTATGGAGGGTCGCTCCACGACAACAAATCTCGCTTGCTTTGCTCAGTACACCTCGGAAGTGATGGATAGGCAAGGACAAACGGTTGTTATATATACAGACTTCGCGAAAGCATTCGACACGATTAAACAATCCCTAATCCTGAGCAAGTTAAGTGACTGTGGTTTACATATCAATCTGTTGTACTTTTTCCGTTCTTATTTATGTGATAGAGTCCAGTATGTGGAGGTAGGGAATTCTCGGTCAAAAACGTTTGTCGCTACATCAGGTGTGCCGCAAGGTTCTAACCTTGGACCTCTACTTTTTATACTTTTTATTAACGATTTATCAAATTATATAAACTGTCACCATCTACTATTTGCCGACGACCTAAAAATTTTCTCACGTATTAGTAACATGGAAGACTGCGAATTTTTGCAAACTCAACTGAACATTATACAAGATTGGTGCAATACTAATTGTCTACGCTTAAACTCATCTAAATGTAAAGTTATTACATTTACGAGGAAGAGGCTACCCATTACATACAACTACACATGTGGCGATGTTACACTGAGACGACATACTAGTACGGTTGACTTAGGCATTACGTTTGATCACCACTTAAACTTTAATGACCACATCTCTAACATTAGACGTGAATCCATGAGAATGCTTGGTTTTATAATTCGTAACACTAAGCCTTTTAGTACAGTTGATGTATCAAAATTACTTTACGTCACTTATGTTCGCTCCAAACTTGAATACGCTTCTATCATTTGGAACCCGATTTATAAATATTTAAAAATTGAGATTGAGTCAGTACAAAGAAGATTCCTGAAATTTATGTCATTCAGGTGCGATGGGGTCTATCCTCCACAAGGATGTGACAATAGGTTATTAACGGAGCGTTTCCAGTTTCAAACCTTGGAAGATCGAAGAACCATCATGGGACTACGGCTGCTATACAAGTTATTGCATAATGAAGTGGACTGCATAGGATTGCTTTCTTCATTAAAATTTCTGGTTCCGAAGTACCACACTCGTCACGTAGACACATTTTACTGTGAGAAGGCGCGCACCAGTTTACTGAAGAGGACACCTATCCAGCAGATGTGTCACAGTTTTAATAACATTTCCAGTTTGTGCGACATTCACC